ATGGGAGGGTCAGAGAGCCCTCAGATTTCATCAAAAATATCTTAAATTGTGTTCCGAAGATGAATGAAAGTCTTCCGGCTTTCGAACAACACGAGGGTGAGTAATTAATGACAGAATTTTAATTTTTGGGTGAACTAACCCTTTAAGCAGCACAGCTGTTTTCAACATTAATAATGATTAGAAATTATTCTTGAGCAGCAAATCAGCATATTAGAATGATTTCTGAAGGATCATGTGACACTGAAGACTGAAGACTGAAGACAATTCAGCTTTGGCATCACAGGAATAAATTATTTTAAATGTGAAATACGGTTTAAGATCTTATAATATTTTGCAATATTACTGTTTTTACTGTAATTTTGATCAAATAAATACAGCCTTGAGCCTTTGAGCATAAAGGACTTAAAAACATAAAAAAATCTCCCTGACCCCAAAATTTTGAATGGTAATGTATGTGACTCCCCTAAGACTGTTCTCTGGGAGTCAATCCTACTATGGCAAATGTTCACTAGAGTAAAGAAAGGGGTAATAACTATCCCCCGTCTCCCAATTTAAATTCTTACTTTCTCTGTTTCTTTCCTGTGCCATCTAGCTGCTGCTGGAGCATCTGGAGTGTCTGGTGTCTCGTCATGAGCGTTCTCTGAGGATGACTGTGGTGAAGAGGCAGGCTCAGTCTCCTGCTGGAGTCTCCAGCGAGGTGGAGGTGCTCAAGGCCCTCAAGTCCCTGTTCGAACACCATAAAGCCCTGGACGAAAAGGTCAGCAGCCCTTCCCTACTCTCTCCTGTCCTACAATATTTTGGCATGATGATAAATCCAAATATCTGATTTTTTTTTGTGACCACAGCTGTCGTTTGGTTTCTGTTTTCATTGTGTTTTTCTGGTTAATCCTGCTCATAATGAAAACACAGTGGCCTAAAGCTTCAGAAATGATGAAAAGCACCATAAAAGTATCACAAAAATAGCCCATATGACTCATATGCTGTATTTAAAGTCTTCTTAAGCTATACAATAGCTTTGTGTGAAGGGAAATAACAAAATCTAAGCCATTATTTCTCTGATGCAAAGGTAGTTTCATTTGGTCCCTTCAAAACACCTAATAATTCTGTTTTAAAGCACAGCTATCAGTGAAGCAGGACACCTTCTCATATTGCACTTTATGAGTTCATTAAGAAGTTGTTAAAGCTGATATCAGTGTTTAAACAGTCAGACATCTACAGAATTACTGCGTCTCTTCATAGAGGTGATGTTTTTTTGGACAGGTTCTCCCTGTTGATTCATTGTCTATTGTTCTTCTCTCCCTCAGGTGCGTGAGAGATTGCGTGTGGCTTTAGAGAGAGTTGCCGTTCTAGAGGAAGAGCTGGAAGCATCCACAAATGAGGTAAACATCATACGTTTGCAACATATGTCTGTACCTCCTTTTCTCTCTTTATGTGGCACGCTGGTCTTGCATGCTTAGATTTGTTCGCTACACTTAGGTTCTGTCTTTACGGGATCAGATTAAAAGGAGAGAACGGGGTTTGGACAATGGAAAGGAGGTGAGTCCGAACTATTTGGATAATGTTTTGAATCTTTTCAATCTTTTTTTCTCATGTTCCTCTGTTTTTCACACAGCGGCTCCCGAACGGCCCCTCCTCCATCTTGGATGATGGCGAGATTGACAGACAGAGAGAGGGAGAGATAGAGAGACAGAGAGCAGAGCTTTCACAGTTAAAAGAAAGACTGGCGCTCATGTGCAGACAGGTGAGTGTTGCACTGCTGCCTATAGAGGGAGAATTTTAAAGGAGTCATATGATGTTGCTAAAAATAACATTATTTTGTGTATTTGGTGTAATGAAATGTGTTTATGCGGTTTAAGGTTCAAAAAACACATTATTTTCCACATACTGTACATTATTGTTTCTCCTCTATGCCCGCCTTTTTGAAACGCGTAGATTTTTACAAAGCTCATCGGTCTGAAAAGTGAAGTGTGCTCTGATTGGCCAGCTATCCAGTGCGTTGTGATTGGCCGAATACCTCAAGCGTGTGATGGAAATGTTA